GCGCTGTTCATTTTTTTTTCACCAACACCCTAACTTGCAGCATTCTGTCTAACTTATAACAACAATAAAACAATACGATGGTTTGATGCGACGAAGTGCCTCATAGCGCTATTTTTATAGCATATTCATTCCGTAGCAAAATAATAGCGCTACAACTTACTTCACGGACAACTGAAGTGCCATTAAGCATTGCGAAACGAAATCAGCAGACCAACATTGCTGTTCTGTAGTGCAAAAATACGATGACGCCAAGCTGCTTGGATGAAAAGGAAGATCAAGCAACTGTAGTAAAAGCACGACCGACCACACCAAAGCTTCGCCTACATTTTAATAACAAGAACAAGGGCAATATTACACAGCTTAAAAAAAAGAAAAAAGAAAGACGTCAAGATACACAAATCTGCAGAGACTGTTACCTCTACGATTTTTTTAAACGCTACAAAGAGGACGAAATGATAACAAGTGACCCATATAGGTTAGCTTTAAGATTAAACTGGATATCCGATGTGCTAAGTACTCCACAGGAATCAAACAAGATGGTTTGTTTGAAAAAACCAACCGTAGTTAACGATGACAAACACGGCAAATGGCTTAGAATCCCCTCAAGAGTATCTTTTTCAACACTGTCAACGTTGCATTGAGGAAGTCATTTGCAAGAACATTCTTAGACAACTCCTGTGTCATTCACCCTTAGTAATACAAACCCATTGCCTACAAATATGGGTATCGCATACGGGAATTTTTTTCCAAAAATTTTCAAAAGAAAATTCTCTGCAAACTACCAAAAGAGAATAATGAGACTTCATCGAAGTGACGGTATCCGTTCAAGGGTAGATCAACAACCAATTCAGAACAACCAAGACTTTAATAGTATTGTTTCATCAAACGACACGACCTTCGCCAAAAAACTAACGCTCCTAGTGCTGTGTGCGTTGCGACTACGAAAATATTATGCACTGCCAAAATTTCTAAAAAAATTATTTATCCTTTACAATACCATATCTTACCTAACGGTAATAACTAAGCTAACATTCTCAACTACGTACACCCCGCACCAACCGGCTGTCACGTCTCAAAAAGTTACTG